TTTTAATGTTCAAAAACTTACTGTTCAAAAACTTCTGACTGGTAGTGTAGGCTGATTATTCTTATAGATTGAAACAAATGTGCTTTAGCCAGTATAAAGAGTATGAAAAGTGCTCTGAGTTGCTGCAGAAAAAAGAAAAAAAAAAGAGCAACAACAAAACAATGTTGCTGGAGACGGGTTTATTGAAAATCCAAACTGATTGTCTGCCAGCAGGAGGCGCTTTGAGAGCGGTAGAACTAGCGGTTTCCCCAGTAACGGCTGCAATCAAAGCAGCTCCACTCATGAACGCTTCTTTATCAGATCAAATGAAAATGCCATCGAAACTTTTCTGAAGACAGTCGGTTCCCTTCACAGATACATTTATATAAAACACCCGCGACATTTTTTGATTTTGAAACGTGCAGTGCTCATGTTTATTCAAAGAAGTCAAACGCCACAAATAAATCAATGTATGGGAAACACTGGTAATGTATATCGTAATATCGGAAATGTGTTTTAAAATCATATCACCGTTATTGAAAAAAATTATATCGCGATACATATTGATATTGAATTATTGTCCAGCCCTAGGTGAACTATCCCTTTAAGTACACACAAACACAGTCAAAGCACCACTTACAGCATCGCACGCCCTACACCAGTCAGAGAACTCACACATCCTGAGGTGTACTTGAAGTGCACATGCGAGGACAAGTGTACACTGGCAGCGAGAGGGGGCTGGCACTGGGGTACGGCCTCCTGGGGACCCAACAGCAGATGGTTATGGAGCATTTCTCTATGATAATGAAGTGAAGGCTAAGACGCCAACCGCGGCCATAACTCTCGCTCACTCGCTCTCAGTCTCTCTCTCTCATTTGCATGACTCTAAACCACCACCCTAGAGTCACGACCCTTTCCATCCCCTCTAAGTGCCCCAATAAATTCAAATGTAATGCTCTTAAATGAGATCACTTACATGTGTCATTTTTCTTCTGTTATATTTATAATCTGCCACTTTGGCCTTGATTAACAAATGGCACTCAAGACACCCAGGCATGATTCCTCATGGCTGATGAGGGCCGAGCAGACAGAGCGAGATGTCCTCAAATCATGGAGGGAGATGACTACGAACGTGTGTTAAGTGCATTACAGGGGACACAAGATTTGTGTTCAATTGTTTGGCTGATTAGAATAATCCAAAACACCCTGCAACAAACAAATTAAAGCAGTAGTGGTTAATTAGTTTGTAAACTAATTGCAATGATGAACTAGAAACAATAAATGCAATATCTTTTATTTTTTTAAATGTCAAAAAAATTCCCACAACTCTCGCTCTTGTCCTCACAAATACAAAGAGGCAAATAAAGAAATACTGTACCACTCGTGCCATCTTCTGCACTCAGACTCGCACATTTTTTATTTAATATTTAATTGTGTGTCCTCTGCATTATTATTGTGCCAGGCGATGGAGTGCACTTGTTCATCTTACCTATTGTTGTATTTATAGTGTACACTTTTATAGGGCCAATCCTCATTCCTCAACTCTATGCCAAGAAAGCTCCTATTTAGCCATTAATTATGTAAATGATGGAACCATCACAGCAAGCCAGACTAACGTGTTTTAGTCCCTTTAATATGCATTTTAAAACAGCTTCATTATTATAATGTATTTTGATAAACGATGCTTATGGTGCAGCTTCGGTCATGTAAATTGCTTATCCATAAATTAAACTAATAAAAGTAACTTGATGAAATATTACCTAAATGTTAAGTACCACAGTCTAATTTATTTTGGGCAATACCTCTCTTCAGAAAATCATAAATATGATTATGATATTATCCAAGAATAAGAATAAGAATGTCTTGTTGGTAAACAAATACATACTGAAATAAAGCTTCATTTAATATGCAAATCATAGTGAAATGCATAAAGTCAGTCTGAATAATGTATTGTATAAAGCAGTACATATCTTTCCATGGTTAAAAAAATAATACAATTAATTAATTTAAAATAAATGATGAAAGTAATTCAAGTGTGATATGCTTTTGTTTTGTTAATTGAACAAAAAAGAAAGAAAAATTGCCATCAGCATACTGGGGAAATCATAATGGACTGGTTAAAATAAAGCTACTTCATACTTTTTTTTTTTGGATTGAAAGAACACGGTAAACCAGAAACCGCATTCACCAAATGCTGTACAAATAGTACGCTCCCTCTTATTATATTACTGCTTAACAGTTCCAGAACTGTAGTTTCTACCACTAAAGTATTCAGTTTGTATGTTTGAAAGAAGAGACGAACATCTACTGTGTGGAACATTCTGTGATGGAAGGTATAATAAAACAGCTGATTTCTCCTCCAGGTTTCCATTAACACACAGTGAATGAGTCCGCTGCATTTGCGGAGGCGCTTTGGAGCTCTGTAATTCATCCAACAGGCTAAGTACATCTTTTATTTGTGTTAAAGTGGTAGGGAAAACGTATCTTTGCTATAGGTAGACTTATAAATTTAAACATATGCTACATAAACTCTGCTCTGTAACTGCTGCTTAACTGCTATTAGCTATGCCTGCACACGGCTAGAAGATTTGAGCGGTACGACTGAATATCTGTATGTTGCTCCTGCGTGGATATATCTCCAGGACTTCACACAGTACTGGCAATTTATCATTTCAGAAGCCTCTATATCAAACCACATGATAAAATATATTATTCCTCAGAGATTAATATTCCTGCCAGCACGAGCACTATACAGTACATAGCACAGTGCTTATTAAGACTAGAAATGTACAATAATAATGCATTTATGCTATTATGTTTAAAGGCATAATACTTTTTTTATGTATAGTAAGGTGCTACAAAAAATATTGCAAATTCAAGCACAAATCTGAATTAATATTGTAAATTCAAGAACAACAAATCTGAATTATTTGTTTTGTAATTATTGCAAAAAGTCGCACGTTGTTAAACAAATACAGTAAAATACAGTAAAGAAAGTGATTTACAGCCACATATAAAAAAGGAAATTAAAATAAGTGTGAAAGACATTAAAAACAAACAGTCAAGAAAGAAAGAAAGAAAGAAAGAAATATCACAAAAGCTTTGTTAAAAAAGCTTTTTACATCTTTGTACTTTATCTAAAATCAGTGACAACAAAATTGCCTCAAGAATGCATTCTCTTAACTATGACATCTGGCATAAGACTCGCACTCCTGCAGCTCAAATGTGTATCATGTTAAATCGAGAAAGTAAAGCGAGAGAGAGAGAAATACAGACAGAGGAGAGAGAAACAGAGACAACATCATTTTGGTAAAATGTAAAAGGTTCAGTAATTACAGTTATTTTACCAGCATCAAATAACAAGTGGATCATTCCCCTCCAGACTATTGTGAAGCAAAAGCCTTTCTTAAATGTCACTGTTTCAGACTTCAAATGCGTAATGCTGAAGGAAGGTGACAATATTAGTAGATGAGTATGTCTATGTGAAGTAGACTGAAGTAGTTTATTTTCTTTTTTTTTTCTTAAACATCAAATCCAAAATATTAGCCACATAAGCCCCTCATATTAAAATATATATAAATATATATATATATTTTTTTTTAATGTAATATATATATATATATCATTTAAATTACTTTAATGTCAACATGAGAATGATTGAGTGATTTCTTAAGACTGAAATGTCACAACAGTACATAAAAAATAAAATAAACTGAATGCTGCATATGTATTTTGTCAACATAAAAAATACATAAAGAAATAAGTAAACAAAATAAGTGCAAACCCTAATAATACTAATAATAATATCATCATCATCATTAAGATATAAACACACATATATAACTTATTTATTTAAAAAGTAGTAAGGGAAAAGTATGGAATTGTCTAATGACTATTATACTTAATGTATTATATGAAATATCAATGATTGCATGAAAGGTATTGGGACATGATGTCAGCCGTCATATTTTAACCCCTGCAATCATGATAATGGTTAACATTTGTCAATTTTCAAGTCTGAATTCCACATACATGCATCTCGATAAGCCGAGCAGATTGCAGTGCATTACGGTGCGGATGGGGATTTTCATCAAGCACACACATGTGAATGGATTACATTTACATTGCTTCTTCTTGAAGATTAGCAGCTCCCTCTTGTGAGCTTCGTAGGTAGTGTGTTCCCTTGCACTATGCGGCAGCCTCTTGACTCATCTTTCGTTTTTTTTTCTCCATTACCCTATTCCTGTCAGAAACACGGAGGCAGTTAGTCCCTCTCCTCTTCCCTCTGCCCCATCTGCATTTACAGGCTGTTTCTCCAGCTCTCACCGCTGACCTCTTACTCAAATATTTAGACGTTCGATTGCAAGCCCCTTTAAGGAACTGTGCCGTAACCCTGACCGTAAACAAATCGATGGGCCAAGTTCAAACGCCAGTGGAACTGTACGAATGTAAACAGGTTCATTCGGAGGCTACAGGGAGGGATCTTCAAACCGGCGTGCTGCAGAAAGGAAAGAATGGGATGCAAATGCATGCACAGCCATAAAGTATGCATATGCACAAAAAGAGAGAGGGATTGCACCCTAGGCTGACTTCAACTAGTGAGAGGGGTTGCAAAGCAGGGCAAACGTTTGGACAACGTTGTGGCGATGCAAAGGAAACGTTGCAGGGTTATGCATCATGAATGTTTACCTATAGAGTGTGGTGCGGACGTGAACCAGTATATCTAAACACTGCTCGTTCCCGGAAACATCCCCATTCACACACTGCATGAAGCTTTGAAATAAAGGGGTATTTGGACGGTGTGGTTTCAAGCGAATAATATACCTATTTCGTATTTGCCACTGCAAAAGAAGGAGGAGGAGAGCTGGAACAAATGTGTGACTCGATAATTGTGCTATGTCACATCAAGACAGGACTTGGGGTCGAGTGATAAATTCCAGGTGACCTCTTAGTCAGATCCAGGGAAAGGACAGGCTGCCCTTGCTGTTCCCTAAGGCGATAGACACCCCTACACCATCCTCACAAAAACACTGCTCGTTCCCGGAAACATCCCCATTCACACACTGCATGAAGCTTTGAAATAAAGGGGTATTTGGACGGTGTGGTTTCAAGCGAATAATATACCTATTTCGTATTTGCCACTGCAAAAGAAGGAGGAGGAGAGCTGGAACAAATGTGTGACTCGATAATTGTGCTATGTCACATCAAGACAGGACTTGGGGTCGAGTGATAAATTCCAGGTGACCTCTTAGTCAGATCCAGGGAAAGGACAGGCTGCCCTTGCTGTTCCCTAAGGCGATAGACACCCCTACACCATCCTCACAATCATGGCATTAATCCCTTCCCACAACCCCCAACAATATCCCATTATGTATGGACAGCAAGAGATGGAAACTGCACATCTTGAACCTGACTATATATCTATATTTTTTTTATATAATACTTAGTGCTGTCAAACGATTAATCGCGATTAATCGCATCCAAAATAAAAGTTTTTGTTTACATAATGTGTGTACTGTGTATATTTATTATGTATATATAAATATACACATACAGTATATATTTTGAAAATATTTACATGTATATATAATGTTGTTTACATAATGTATATGTGTGTACTTTGTATATATATTATGTATATATAAATATACACATACAGTATATATTTTGAAAATATTTACATGTATATATTTATATTAATATAATTTATATTATATATATATATATATAAATCTATTTAATATATACACAAAATATTTTTTCTGAAATATATACATGCATGTATGTGTATTTATATATACAGAAATATACACAGCACACACAAATATTTTGTAAATAACTTTTATTTTGGATGTGATTAATCGTGATTAATCGTTTGACAGGATCCTGTGGTTACAACACTAACAGTAGTGGAGAGCCATTGAACTTTAAAGCAAATAGTCCTTCTTCCTGCCCAGAGTCCTCACGGTGGATCAATACATCACAGTGTAAGCTGTGTGTCGTGTCTGGTAATGTTTCTGTCTGTCTGGGCTAATGACCTGAGTAGTACTTATAGCAGTGGGAAAGGTGGGCTTCTGCCAGCCGACTTTGGAATGAGAACGACTGTAGCTTGCTTGTGAGCTGAACTCCATATAAATAATTATATTTGTAAATTTAGACTGTATAATTCTACAAAAATACCTGGAAGGGACAGTTCACCCAAAAATGAAAATGGTGTCATCATTTACTCACCCTCAGGTAGTTCCAAACCCATCTTTTAAATACAAATGAAGATATCCTTTTTGTTCATTAAAAGTCCAACTGAGACTTTCATGCATTATCCAGTACAAAAAGAATTGTGAAAATTAATTATACGAATTGAGCAGTTTAATCCAATCAAGCTGAAGAAACATGATCGCTTTATATGATAAGCAGGTATAATTTGGGCTTTTTTCCACATGTAAACACTGACAAACACACATACACAGCCCATCACAGTATATTTACAGTAAATAGAAGCTCAAACGTACTTGAACAAACTTCATTGGTTCTCATGTGTCAAGCAAGTACATTTAAGCTTCAGTGTAACATACTGTGCATTGATCAATGTTTATATGTGAAAAGCTTAAATAAAATGTTCATTGTCACTACAGATTTGGATTAAACTGCTTGATTTATATAGATTAATTTGTCTTTATAAACAGTGTGCAACCAGTTTTGGTTGCATGAACAAAGAATGGAGGGAATCTCTCAAGTTTTAGGGAAAATATAACTTGTGTTTTAAAGTTGAACTATAGTCTGAGTTTGGAACGACTTGAAACTGAGTTAGTGATGACAGAATTTTCCATTTTTGCATAAACTATAAGTCTAGTGCAGAAGTCCACAAATGATGCTTAAGGCATTGTAATAAACAATGTGGATCCACATACCTAGACTTCTAATTTATTTAAAATCTTGTTTGTCTCGAAGCACAGTCCTAAAGTCTAAAACGGCATTCTGAAACACTTTAAAGTGGTTTCAGGTAGTGTAAATGTAACCTGAATTCCTCATTTGACAAGCTCTGTGGGTCTTACCATTTCACTGGCCAGGGATATATTTGGAATTACGAGACAGTCAGATTCCTGATTCCCCCTCTGAGGTTCTGTTAAAGGGAATTACTGTAAAAAAGAACGCTTTGAAAGAAAGCTTCTATTCAAGAGACGATGATGAGAGAAGAAAAGGGGGAAAAAAAACACCTATTCAGTTCTTTCCAACTGGAAGCATCCGATCCGTGTGCCTGGATCAGCGTCCGAAATAAGCCAGATCGTGAAGAGTTGAAGAAGGTGGAGGCGTGCGTGCAATCCCCGTGAGTGTGAGGGATCTGTTCCAGGGGAAGTGAATGGAACTAAATGGCCAACATCAAATGAGTGAGACGAGGCTTGAGAAGGTTTGGGGAGAACTGCGATGGGGTACAAGCCAATGCGCTGAGCCCCAGGGTCTTAGAGTCTTTTTCCCCCAGCTGATCCCCACCAGAACTGGGCTCTTCGGTGCTAACCGAAAGGCTCTGACTGCCAGACCCGCTCAGCTGACACAGCTCAGTATGGAGTAACACAGAGTGAAAGTGCTGAGGAGGAGCTGTTGATGCACACTTCACAGATTAATGCTCAAACAAACACACCGAGTACACACGAGTGCAGTGATCAATTCAAAACATTCACTGTTATGTATTTGGACATTATGGAAGGTTAAAAACAAAAGAGGCTAAATGCAGACTTTTGGGGGGGAGCCTTTTGTCTTATTTAATGATAGTAGAGACAGGATAGGAAATAAGAGGAGACGTTTTTCCCCATCAGGTTAATGATGGTCCAAACCAAAAAAATATATATTTTCCATGCAAATTTTGGAATTTCAAGCTTCAAAAAGGATATAAAAGCAGCATAAAAGTATCATAAAAGTGGTCACAGGAACAGGCTTAAATTTAAGTAACTATTCACTAAAAATCATGATATCAACCCTTAATCTTGATGTTCATGAGAGTGAATGATAGAAGTAGTCATGTGATTCATGAGCGAACCGTGGAGTTGGATCTTTTCAAGGAATCATTTGACCTCATTCACGAAACTACATTGGTGCTTGAGTTCAACTTACTGATTCTAGCAATTCTATAATATTTTGTTTTTGTTTGTTTTTGCATAGTTTTTGTTTTTAAGACCCAGTCTTTGTTAATTGTACCTGCATTGAAAACAGCAACTAGTAGATAATTAAAAAGTTAAGAAAGTCATACAGGTTTTTAACAACATGAGGATAACTGAACTATCACTTTAATTTCTTTGCTGTAGTAGTATGAATGTTTATAAATGTATTTTGCTCAGTAGTGACACTTAAAGCTATCAATCACTCAGAAAATTAAAATGTTGTCATTATATACTCACCCTCATGTTGCTCCAAACCTGTATGACCCTCTTTCTTCTATGGAACTTACAATAATATGCTTTGTGTCAGTGCTTTTTGTCAATACAATGAAAATCAAATGGTAACCAAACCTGGTAACCAACATTTATCAAAATATCTTCTGTTGCGTTCCATAGAAGAAAGTAAGTTATAAAACTGTCTCTTTAAGCTGCATTTTGATCGGACTATGGTGATTTTTATGATGGTGACTTTTTATGCTTTTTCCATATGTTCTGTATAACCTGTACTTAAAAGTTCAACTCAGAACTGCAAAAGTCAAAGCATTTATATCATACAGATGGCCACGTCTGTGAAACACGCTGGAATAGAAATGACCTAAATGAGTAATTCAATCACAGAGAGAATGAGAGGTCCGTTCCCAATTCAATTTGAGTGTCTGAGGGATCCAGCCTCCTCATTTCTTAATGTCACTTTAACATCTTGCATGTTAATGAGCAGACGTGAGGTTAGGCCTAACACAGAGCCATTATCCACTTATTAGAGCCCTGACCCTGATGATCCCTACTCCATTAAACTGGATGTACAGTACAGGCATGTGTGGAGATGAGAGGCGATGTTCAGCTTGACTGAGCTGAGCGCAAGTGTGAATGCAACACTGCCCTTGTCCATTCTGTCAGTCCTGGGGTGGGACACCCTGAAGTCAACGCGCCCCTCCGCACACATATATACCGAGATGGTAGAGAAAGAACCACTGACACGGGTCACTAGACTCTCTCATCCACCCACTTATCTCCTGACAGAACATATCTTTCACATGGAGAGCATGGCCAGGAGACAGCAGAAGACAATTTAACAAGTTTGACAGGTGTTGCTGTGTCAGGCGCTTATGAGTG